AGCAGCGTGTTTTAGCGAGGCCAAATGAGTGATTACCTCCAACTCCTGTCATAATTCAGCATGACCTCAATCTGCCAGCGAAGCCTCTCCCTGACTGATCGCAGTTCAGGTGCTCTGCTCTGATGTTAAGTGTAGTTAGAGAGAATTGCCTTTATCTGTTGCCTGTGCAGGGCTCACAAATTTGATGTGCAATGCTAACGGTTCAGGTCGGCACTAGGGAGACCTAATTACATCTGTAATCAGTTTGCTAATGTGTTGAGTTGTCGATCTGCACCAAATCGTGTTCTTGTTGAAATAGAACATGAATGTGACACAGCTGTGACAATAAAAATATTATAGTATGTCTAAGTATAACATGTAAGCACAAAATTAGCTTGATTAGCTTTTTTGCTAATATAAGCAAGAACACAACTGGCTTTTAATGAAAGAGCAATCTCTTTGTCAGCACATGAATGTAGAATAGCATGGTGACCTTCACCTGAAATAATTTCTTGAATCCAGCGTATGAATCACTGAGTTACTTGGTGACCCTTCTGCTGATCTAGGATCAGGAACCAGGGTGGAATTGTACTGCATATTTATTAGCACTCTGACAGCATTTGTGGCCCAGATTGTAATGCTAACAATAGTAAATACATGCACGTGTTACTCATGTTTCCCTCCTCGCCCTGGAACGAATGCAGAGTGTCAGCATTACAATCAAACGTCAGATATTGTTTGCTGTTTTTAGACTTGCACCATCTGGCTGATCAGAGGGTGCGTAAAAGGAGGGGTAATATAAAGTTCAATGATTGTGTGATCTGTGTGGTGAGCATGAATGCTAGCCATGAATGAACTAGCGTTCTGCCATGTTGAGATGCTGTGGTGCATCTGTGATGACTAGTAAGGTTTGAAACTATAAGCATACTGTACATGAATGCAGATGTTTTTAGCTATGCGACCTTGATTTTTGACTCATGTTCTTGCATTCTGAAATGTGTAATTCATAAGGCAAGCATAAAGAGCAATGGTAGGGATTTCATTGCAATGTGGCTGTAGCGTGTCTTAGCTTGAACATTGGTAAGACAAACAGAGATGTCCTTTTCTAATACTAAAGTTCATAAATCTCATGCTGACATTCTGATTTCAGTTATCTTGATGTAATAACAACTCTTAATTTTAAAGGGGTCATGCAACTGAGAATCAAAATGTTCTTGATATTTACACATATGAGAGGCTACTCTGCAATAAATAACATACTGGAAGTATCAAAACTTAAAACTATATGAATATGAATGATTATTTTCTACCCTTCTGAAAGTCCAAGATTTGAATTTAGGGATATCATGACATCATGATTTGATTTCCTTATATGTGACCATGGACCACAAAACCAGTCATAAGGGTCAATTTTTAAAAATTGAGATTTATACATTATATGAAAGCTGAATAAATAAGCTTTCCATTGATGTATGGTTTGTTAGGATAGGACAAGATTTGGCCGAGATACAACTATTTGAAAATCCGGAATCTGAGGGTGCAAAAAAATCAGAATATTCAGAAAATCGCCTTTAAAGTTGTCCAAATGAAGTTCTCTTAGCAATGCATATTACTAATTACAAATTAAGTTTTGATATATTTATGGTAGGAAATTTACAAAATATCTTCATGGAGCATGATCTTTACTTAATATCCTAATGATTTTTGGCATAAAAAAAAATGTATAATTTTGACCAATACAATGTATTGTTGGCTATTGCTACAAATATACCCCAGCGACTTAAGACTGCTTTTGTGCTCCAGGGTCACATATGGTGTGTTCTGCACAATTCATTTTAGCTCATCAATCACAAGAGCGATACTGCCATCAGGTAACAAAATACCTTTTTTGCTGGAAAAAAAAACTTGCAAGCTTTATAAACTAACCTTGAGAAACACAATATAAAAATCTAAATGCAAAATGCATTTCATGAGCATCATGACCTATGATCGGTGTAATACACAAGGGCTTACATACAGATGTTCTTTGTCACAAAGTGGTTTACTCTATATTAATTTCTCTATATTGTGATTATTCGATACACAAAAAGCGATCAAAGATCGCTCTCTTCATAATCGCTGGAGCAGTCGATTCAAGATCAGCGCAAGTCTATCAGGGATTTGATTTCTGAATTTTTGCCGAACAGGAAAAAAGAGTAAAGAGATTACTCTGCTCAGTGAGTCTTATATTTACATCATGTTAGTTATGAGGAAAGTATTTGTGAGAGTGCAGAAATCGCGTAGCAATAAGTAGATCATTGCACTGTTTTCACAGTAGACATGAATCAGCTCTGTAATCCAAATGGATGGAAATGTAATATGCAATTCAAATACATGAATTTAAATATTTCTGCACTTATACTGCGTATTTAGAGCTCAGAAAAGCTGGGCCATTGGAACGAGAGGAAGGGAACAGATAGAGTCTTGGCTTCCCGAGCCCCAGGTGGCCATCTTTCATCCTCCAGCCACCCTGTGAATGCTTTGGAGAGAGAGTCAATATCCTTGACATCTGCTCCCTCGCCCTGGGAGTCTGGCCACTGTCCTGTCCTGAGCGCCTGCAGTGGAGCGAAGAGCTCAGCTATTCTCAGCCTCCGAAGCAGACACGCACACAAATACACGTGTCAGGTGTTAACAGTCTACCAGCACTGACAGCACACCACCAGCACATCCCCCAAACCGCTTCAACAGAAGAGCAATTGCAAAAATGAAAGGTTACGCAGGTTAGTTGGATTGGAAATATCACAGCCTGCCCATCTAAAAGGTGCGAGTCCTGGACATTCCAACTGCCTCGGATTCTCTTCATCGCTTGGCCTCCAGAATGTTATCTTTGGGGAAATTAGGAAACCTAAGTAGTGGGTAAATTTCCTTAGTGTGTAGTGGGCCAACAACGAAAATCCTCGCTGCGGATCAATTGTACATTCAGGTAAGAAAGTGCCCAAAGGAGGGTGAAGCAGGGAGTCTCCAAGAAAAACAAACCCGGTACGAGCACAAAGGAGAAAAATTACTTTTTTAGATTCTGCGATTCTAAGCCCTCAAACGCGCACTAGCCCGACTATATCTCTCGAACATTTCCAAGGCATTTGTAATCATTGAACAGCATGCATATGCTAGCTCACTTGGGTATTTCTAAGTCTCTAGCTGTGTACGCTGCAGAGGGGTGGTAATAGTAATATTGAGCGGTCATTAAGGTGGGAGGGAGGCCAAAACAGTTCTCGCTGCTGGGATGTGTGGTACATTGCACAACCTACGCACTGCTGAGCCCAGGCTTCTTTGTTGTTGATAAAGAAGGAGTAGGAGTGTAAGTGTAGTTGAAGAATTAGATTCCGTTTGCATGTTCTTATCGGTGATCTAAGCTGTAGAGAGCAGAGGATGTGTGGAAAGGTTCGAGTGCTGACATGTGCATGTTAAAAAGTCCTGGAGTCCTGGATCTCAGCACATTCAGATACACATCTCGACACAAATGTGGGTGTATAGCTGTGAACATTTCAGCGGAGTGGATGAAATTATGTTGCATTCCTCGGCCCTTGGCCATCTGTGCCCATGTTTGTGCAATGATTAGGTTTAATCATATTCTGCATTCTGTGTTGCTTTGGCAGCCGTGATTATGTGAGATCAATTTGCTAGAAAAAGCCCCTAAATGAAAACAATTCAAAGACATTATTGTGGCAGATATGTAAAAAAAAAAAAGAGAGAGAGAAAATGTGTCCTTAGACTGGCCTACGATCCACAACAATCAAATTTGTTTAAACAAAATGTAGAGTTTTGGAGCCATTCATACAAAATACCTTCTTCAACCTGCATGCATTTTAATATTATTGGTCTATGTATGATTGAGTCATATGATACCTTGTGTTGCTGTTTTTTAAGAGTCTTACTCCATGAGCATTGCATTTTAAAGTGCGCAGCATCAAGTTTAAATGCATTCTCAAGACCTGTGCATTGTGTTTTATTTTGTTAGGCTCTGTTTTATCTGTTTTTGACTCCAAGAACACATCCTATGTAAACAGCAAAGCTCATTAAAAGTTATTTCACCATAAAATTAATCTGATTGGTGGGCAGATTTGCTCGTTTGCTCCAATCCTGCACTCATTCCTTATAGTGAATACTGCATGGTGTGCTATATACACAGCCGGTTCACAAGCTCATTCATTAATTCCTTATAGTGAATTCTGCATAGTGGAATAGAAAGTGATTTCACTGACACTGAAGAGAAAAACTAATGCTGTTTGATTTGGTTGTGTAAAGTCACCTCTATTGGTCAATGATGCACTGCAGCCACATGTGTGTTTATTGTTTGTTTCGTGGTTGTAAAAGATTCAGTCCCCCTTAGAGTTACTAAGGGGTAGCTTTTTGTCATGCCTAATCAAGAGTATATCAGGGTATCTTGTTCTAGCTAATCAAAACAGCCTTTCCAGTTATTCTGTTTGGAGTAGCCTACTTTGCTATTGGACAGAAGGTGATGATTTTATTGGTAGATGTTACATTTTAAAGACAATTTACCTCTTCTTAAAACTAACTTAATAATCAAATTTCTTTTTACAAAAATGTATTTTCTTAAAGCTAACTTAAACAACATAAAACCAACAAAATAAAGTTTAAATTTAAATCTTTAATCGTTTGCATTTCTGAAACAATATGTTGAACACCAAAGCTGTAACCTTCCCAAAAACAAACTAAATGACTAAATGTAAATGTAAACTAAGCAATTAGCTACCTTAGCGAAAGCTAACTTACAATGCAAAGAAAGGGAAGTGGTTAATTTGTCCATCTAGAGCTTTTTTCAAATTATGTGGTAGATTAAGACATTCATTTTCATATTTTCATGATAACACTACATCACACTAAATGAGGCACAGAATAGAACTATTCCTTTAATCAAACTATGCTGAAAACATTAAACTCCCAGTCCTGCTTTATATTCATTTATTCCTGATGTGAAGCATTGTTTAAAATGCATTTATTTTGTCTCCTCTTTGCTGCAGGACTGTTTCATCGTGCCATAATCCAGAGTGGCTCAGCATTGTCCAGCTGGGCCGTCAACTACCAGCCAGTTAAATACACAAGGCTGCTGGCAGAGAAAGTGGGCTGTAATGTGCTGGACACACTAGACATGGTAGACTGCCTGAGAAAGAAGAGCGCTCGTGAGCTAGTGGAACAAGACATCCAGCCAGCGAGATACCACGTCGCCTTTGGCCCAGTCATTGACGGCGATGTCATTCCCGACGACCCTGAGATCCTGATGGAGCAGGGTGAGTTCCTCAACTATGACATCATGCTGGGTGTTAACCAGGGTGAGGGGCTGCGCTTTGTGGAGAATGTTGTGGACTCTGAAGATGGCGTCTCGGGCAATGATTTCGACTTCTCGGTCTCTGACTTTGTGGACAGTCTTTATGGTTACCCAGAGGGAAAGGATACCCTACGAGAAACCATTAAGTTCATGTACACGGACTGGGCAGATAGAGACAACCCTGAGACGCGCCGTAAGACTCTAGTGGCGCTTTTCACCGATCATCAGTGGGTGGAGCCCTCGGTGGTGACGGCAGATCTTCACGCCCGCTATGGGTCGCCCACGTACTTCTACGCCTTCTACCACCACTGCCAGAGCCTGATGAAGCCCGCTTGGTCAGATGCGGCCCACGGAGATGAGGTGCCCTACGTCTTTGGCATTCCCATGATTGGCCCGACTGACCTCTTCCCCTGCAACTTCTCCAAAAACGATGTCATGCTCAGTGCTGTTGTCATGACCTACTGGACAAACTTTGCCAAAACTGGGTAAGTGCCTAACTCACAACATGCAAAGTCTGGGGCATGGGCCATTATGTGATTGTGTGATGCACGATGGCAACTGATTTTTAATTGACAAATCCGCACTTATTTTATTTACTTAAAGGGGTCATATGATGCGATTTCAAGTTTTCCTTTCTCTTTGGAGTGTTACAAGCTCTTGGTGCATAAAGAAGATCTGTAAAGTTGCAAAGACTAAAGTCTCAAATCCAAAGAGATATTCTTTATAAAAGTTAAGAGTCAGCCACGCCTACCTAAAACGGCTCGTTCTAACACGCCCCCACATATCTACGTCACTATGTGGAAATATTAGCATAATGCCGCCCAAATGTGCACGCAAAGAAAGAAGGCGTGGTTTCAGGAACAGCAGTAGTGTTGATGCAGCCATGTCAGGGAGATGCTGTGTGATTCAGTGCGAAAGCAAAAGCACTTTATTTGGCCTTCCGGAAGTAGATGCAATTAGGAATCATTGGTTAAGAGTTATTTACAACAGAACAGCTCAACCCAGATGTTCGAATTTGTGCAACGCATTTTATGGACGACTTTTTGAACCTAGAAGAGTACAAGGCTGGCTGTGCACAAAGGCCGACTTTGCTATGACAATCTGGCGCTTCTGAATC